CATACATCATGGCCTAAACCATACATCATGGCCTAAACCATTCATCATGGATGTATGGTTTGTATGTAGCTCATACTCTAGAGCTACTCTGTATAAAGAAACTATACTAAACAACATTTTAGTTTTTTTTAAAAGCACAGATGGTTTTGAAAACATTTATAATTACATGAGTTTGTGCTGGCTTCGTCAGTACAACACCAGTGCAGTGAAGTGGTAAATGAGTGTGAAAGAAAGGGATGACATTTTGCACGAGCTCCTTCCCTAGTCAAAGAATTTTTCATGGACCTGTCAGGTTACCCCGACAGTACAGTTGTGACAGCTGTAGACGGAGTAACCATCGGTACTAACATGTATTTTTCTTGGTATAGTTACAGTATTTCAAATTGACTAAATACATTCAGTATGTTCACTGTCTTACATGTTTGGAGAACAATTATCAACTTGTTCAAACTTGAAATGTGGTAAATATATAAATATATGTAACTATATAATATATATTTATATGCAAATATATATATATATAAATGTATGTAAATATATAATATACATATATGTTTGTAAAACAATATGTTAATATGCTATATATATAGCATACCTCACCACAGTTCTCTAGGTTGTGCAGCAAATAATATCCAACCAATACGTTGGTTACTGTCCTACCAGATGTTCCACTTTGCACCCGAGCGTTATTCTGTAAAGGGCCTGAATCTTTACGTTTACCCCTCACCTAATTTGTCAAACAGAAACTAATATCCTGTCTGTTCTAAAGATCACATTGTGGTTCCTTCTGCTCCAACTATTCAGAGTTCTGATGTTTTTGTTTAACCAGTAGAGTTCTAGGATACGTCTACTGGACACAAAATTGCTCTTAGTCACCAACCTCTAGCTGAGCAGAATCCCAACTACTCGGTAGGACTGTACACCAACAACTTTATAACAAACCATTTTAATGAAGCCCTATGGTAAAAGATAAATCACCCTGCAAACATTCAGATTTTCCCTTTTCTTATACTTAGCTTGTCTGTGACATGCAGTAATATATTGCAGTAGGTAAGTTGTGTCCAACAAAAATGAACAACCCTGCACACAGATATATATTCATTAACACACACATGAACTTATAGTATGCTGACTGGTTTTGTCTTTGACTTTTCTTGAATGTATTTTTAGGATCAGTCCAGCCTGTGTTTTCTTCCTTTTCACTCTCTATGTCGTCTTCTCCGGCCTTGCGCGTCCTCAAGCCTCATTCAATATCAGCATGTTCATGAGCAAAGGGGTTTGCTGACGCCGTGGCTGAGTGTGTCGCTGCACGCTGACGTCAGCAGTGCCCTGCTCCTTTCCATATAAATGCGCTGCGCTGCCTGCCATTGATACCTGTTCTCAGCCCCCGCACTCTTATTATCATCAGTCCCAGCACCTCACACCACGGTGTCAGAGCCCAGCTAATATGACACGCAGGTGTGACTAACCAGCCGTCTCACAGATTGCAAAGGTTTATTGGCTCTTGTTAGGAGATATTTATGACGGTTCTCTTGCTTAATAATTCTGCAAATGCGAGGATCGGTCTTGATGTTGGCTTTTTTTTTGTTGTTGCTTTACCTGTATGGAAAAGCTTGAACTCTGAACATGAATCAGAAGTTTCTTTTAAGTACAACATTGACATGCAACTGTACAATTAGCATTTTGCCAATAAATTAACAATTTACACATTTCTGCTACATTTTCTTTTGAAAATATTGATTTGAGGAAAACACCATGTGCAAATTTGTGACCATTTATAGATAAATGTCAAATGTATTGGAGCTCTCCATGTGTCAGGGAAAACAGGAAATGTTTGTCAAATCCTTCTTACTGTTGTGCAAAAAGTCAAATTTAACCTGAATTTGAACTTTTAGCTCAAACAGAGAACAGTAGTAATGGTGGTTTTCATTACAGCTGAATAGTAACTATTATTAAATACAAATATGCAACAAAAAAAAGCTAAAATCTATTTTATGTTGGGTTGGTTTTTTCTTCAACATTTTGATTTATCTTCTTTTACTGAATCCTTATTAAGGTCACAAAGAACCTGGAACCAATCCTAGGTCATACTGCGAGGTACACCCTGGACAGTTGTAGAGATATATGATGAACCACAGTCACATTTAAGGTCAATTTAGTCTGAACAATTAACCAAACTCTGCATGATTTTGGGCATTGGGAACAGACCAGAGTTCCTGGATGCAACATGTCATACAGAACATCGGTTATTACCAGGGATTGAACCAGCTACCTTCGTGAGCTAAGGCAAGGGCCACTGGTTTTGCATGAATGAATTCATTAGTGGGTATCAGTCTTGCATCAAAAAGTGTATTTGGTATGAAGGGGGCCATCTGTCGTTTCCTTCCATGGGGCACAGAATTCCTATCAGGGGTGGTAACAAACTTCCATTGAGTGGCCCAGTTTTTCAAAATTGCAGATAATTTGATAATATAAAATATTAATGTAATCATATCCAGTAGGCCAGGACTGTAATAAAATGCAAACTTTAAGGATTAAACTAAATTAAATTAAGTTTAGAGCCCTTTTTTAAGTGTCGGAAAAAGTTACAATAAAAATATGTAAAAGAAAATGTTTTATTTTGTTATATTTTGCAGAAGTATGCTGATTAAAATAGTTTGATGTGGATTTCATATATAAGGAGAACAGATTGGTGTAGAAAATAAAGAAACTGTGTAATTCAACATAACCTCTGCCAGTTTAATTTCACCAGAGCAATTAACTCAATTCTCCAGATTGCACTCTCGCAGTACAAAAACATGAACAGGTGACAAATGGACTATGGTCCATAATGCAGGCTATTTGTGTGTCTTTGTGTGTGCAGGTGTCTTCAGTGTCAGCGGCTGATTTAAGCGTTACTGTATGCGTCTGCCCTCATGTCATGTTTTCATAACACCACAGAGAAAAATATCTGGGCTGTTCATAGGCCGATTGTAATCGCAGCAGATGCTGAAGGCCCTCAATAAGTTGTTGCTTGGCACAGGCCACCGAGATGCTGGTGGTGGCAGCAGTGACGATGGTGGCTGCGCCTTCATCCAGCTTTTCCTGTTTCTACTCAAAGAGAGAGAGAGAGAGAGAGACATAGACATAGACAGAGTGTACTGTCAGAGAGTGCTGTCTATGTTGTTATGCATTGTGAACGGATAATAAAAGCTAAGGCGTAGAGCATACTGCCAGGGCGAGGTGTTGACAGCATGTACACATAGTACACTATATCGTGTGACACGCTCTGGACATTTGAGCGTTTGATTGGGTGTGTGCTGCGTATGCAATCATGAGGGTCAGTAGAAAATGGAACTGCCAACAAAACATGATCCTCGGAGTCAAACAAGACCGGGCTCACATGCTGGCTCCTTGTGTCTCCTGTTTCTTTTATCTTGATCTTTACCTCTGTTCTTCGTTCACCCCTCCCTCCTCCCCCTTACCCCCGTCTTTAGCCACTGTCCTTCTCCCTGTCGGCCTCGGCTCGTCTGAGCGTCTCCGTAAACAAGCAAAAGGCCAACAACTCTGTCCCCCAGCCTTCTCCAACCGTCCTGTTGCCATGGTGTGTGCAGCATTGTTTGCTGGCCTCTATGTCAGGTTGCCATGGCAGAGCTTATTTGCCATATAAAATGTTTGGCAGCATAGTACAGATGCTGATGACAAATGCCCAACATCTCCCTTTGATCAATGAATTGGTTACTGATTGGAGGAGATGGGACAGAGCTGACAGTCTCCTTATCAGCCCATCAGTATAATGTGCAGCAGCTTTAACGTGCACCTATGGAAGTGGGAAAAAAAAATCTTTATACTTTACACCAACTCTCCAGCAGTTAGTGTGGAAATCCATGTTGTTACGTACAGTATATAATTATTATAATGTATGATACCGTGTATCTGCATGGACATATTTACAGTTCAGTAGGGTCATACACAGCATAGACCAGTGGTTCTCAAACTGTGGTACGCACTCTCTAGTGGTACGCAGGGAAAATTCATATTTTCACATTTACCTTTTCAATTGAATAAATCAGAAGTGGTAAAGCTTCTGTGTCACTGGCCCTTGTGGTGTGTGGTGGGACTGCAAGTTGACCAATCTTTGATAACCATCTTTATTTGAAAGCTAATTCAGTTTACATTTTATTTCCAATTGTATCACTTGCTGATGAATTACAGTCTAATGTTTTTGCTGCTTCTATACATTTTACAATATTTGCCTTTTTTTTAATGATTAGCAAAAAGTTTTCCATGTACTACTGTTTTCTAAATATCTACAATTATCACGTGTCAAATACACAGTGACAACACATTGCTTTCAATTTGAATACCAGTCTGAAAAAGTTAACTATCCAGTCAAGAACATGTGTTTTTAACAACATAGTGAGTTGTTACCACGTTGACTCTTGCCATTCTTTTTTTTTTTTTTTTTATGTACACTTAGAAGAATAAGGCACCTTCAGGTCTAGCAACTTAATGTGACAAAACCTGCTCCAACTCTGTCCGCATACTCTTGTGTGAGCACTGTTTGGTTACCAACAGATAGCATGACAATGCTGCCAATTGACGTAGTTGCAGCCAGATAAGATCTCACAGCTCCATTGTAGACACACCATGGTGGTTTTTTGTGTTTTGTTTTGTTTTTTCTCATTTGGTTTTCAAACAAAGGCCTCAATCTGCTGTCACAAAAGTAGTGTGCAATCGCATACCTGTAGTAGAAAGTAGAAAGTGCATCATGTGGTGCAGGAAATCCGTAATGTAAACTGTCACTGCAGCGTGTGTTTAGATAACAGGCAGGACTGTCTGAGAGAAACACTGTTGTTTTTCACTGATCTGCCTGTGCCCTCTCAGGAGAGACGTGAATGTGGCTGGTGTGGTTCAAAGAGACCAGGATGCCCAAACCTCTGTTCTCTCTATGAATGTATTTCTCTGAATAGTAACCTGATGAAATTTGACTGACCATTTTCAATGTGTTTTTGTCTTAGATGATCCTATGGGACTGGGACCTGAAGCACTGGTACAAACCCCAGTACCAGGTCAGTACTATGTTTGTTTTAAGTCACACACCTAAAGGCTGTTCACACATTACAGGTCCTTTAATAGAAATGAATCAACAGGACATTCCACTAATGTTTCTGATATTTACTTTACTACATTGACTTGTGTATTATAAGAATTAATCTCACACCCGTCCTGCAGTACAACCACCGTGTCACTGTATTTTGGTTCCATAGTGCAGCAGTTATCATGTCTGCCGCAGGGTCCTGTGTTTGATCCCCAGAGGAACCATATACTTAATGGCGCCTCCTATGGCAGCCTGTGTGGTTTGCAGAGACTCCCACTGTGAATTGTGGGATGAAGGATGAACGGACTACAATTTCTTTCCCCCACTAATTACTTACCGGTGCTAATGTTTCTTTTATGCTCCTAAAACAGATGACCACACAGACAATTAGCCAACGCTACAAGTGTTTATTTAAACAAATATTTTTAAAAAAGGAATGAACAAAATAACTACATGCGTTTTACTTGTGCAAACTGCAGGGAGCGCTCAGCGGCAGCGTTGTGGATCTGTCGGTCATCAATGAGGCCAGGAATATGGTGTCAGACTTGCTTATGGACCCTGCCCTGTCCCCTCACACCATCTCATCCCTGCGCAGCATCTCCAGCCTCATGGGGACGTTCTCAGGGTCCTGTCGTCCCAGGGTCAACCCTTTCACACCTTTTCCAGGTTTCTACCCCTGCGACGAGGTAGAGGACTCTGTGGAGCGCAGTGACAGAAAGACCATTAAGGTAGGTGTACAGACTGGCACGGATACATCGATTGACCAAATCTAAAACCAGCTCATTCAGTTTCTTTAATTGTTGCTGACTTCTTTTATTTCTTTTATTTTCTTGTATCTTGTTTGGATCATGAAAATATCACTAAATAATATGAACACATACATAAATAGATGAAAAAGAAAAGGAAAAAAAACAAACGCACTAGTCCACTGGTTACCACCAGTAACAGGGTGGTCACACCTTGTAACACATGCTTTTATCTTTTTGGTATTGTATTGTTATTGTTGTTTGGTGTCCGTTAAAAAGAAAGTCATTATTTTTTGCCGATCAGGGTCTGAGCAGCAGGAACAGCCTCCCCACTCCTCAGCCCAGACGCAGCTCCACCTCCTCCTCCTCCACTGTCTTCTCACCACTCGAATCAACTTCATCTTTACGTTGGGATCGCAACAGTGGCAAGAGACCACACCCTGACCTCAACATGACCAGGTAACAACAACAAAAAACATTATTTTATTACTGCCATCTTATAAAAATTCACCAGTCTAAAATCACTGCAATCCAGAATCTTTTTAACTTTTGACCCATTATTTTTATAGATTTTATTTAACTTATTACTTCTTCGTACTTCTTTATTGTGCCACATTTTGCTAACAGTATTGTAAAACAAATTGGGAAGTTCATAAAGTAACAGGTAAGTAATAAGAGTATTATGATGCGTATCAAATGCTTGGTGTTCTGTAAACATACAAAAACAAAGCCACGTCCGTTCTGTGCTGACACACCATTGTTGCTTTAAAAGTTTTGAATTGCATTTTTAAAATTACTTTTGGTTTTGTCTGAGTAAAGTTCTAGACGACTGTACACATATGTACACTGTGTTATTGTGCAGTGTATTTATTAAATGCAGTTCTTGCTGTATTTACACAGTGTTCCATGTGTACATGTGCAAAGGTTTTTATTGCAAATTAAATAAACCAATAGAACAATTCATGGTGTGCTCCAGGATGTAGAATCAAGGTATATCCACAAGAGGGCAGTAGAGGATCAATGTTTCTGGCTAATGAGTTTCTCAGACTAATTTCATGCCGATCGTTCCGTTTTGAAATCAGTCCATTTTATTTGGGCTTTTACATGCAAAGCTGTCAAAGAGTAAAATGTCAAATGAAGGGTTGGAGTTACATTCTTTTTAAACATTCTCATATCTTTTTCTTTTCTTTTTTTTTTTTAGCTCAGGTCTGTCCAATGGACCCAGTGCAAACCTGCTAACCATTCCCAAACAGAGGTCTTCGTCTGTTACCCTTACATACCACGCAGGGCCTAGGAGAGCTGGTGAGGCTTTGAAGGATACATTTCCTCCAGTTTCAGACATATATTGTTTCCCCAGAAATTTCTCAGCTTCCCTAATCCTCTCCAGGCACATCTCCCTGCCTGAGTCCAGTCACCTCTCCAAGCCACAGCCCTCCAGCCATCGGTCCAGGCTCCTCATCGTCTCTCGTCACGAGGTCGCCTGTGGAGTTCCCCGACACGGCAGACTTTTTGACGAAACCAAGTGTCAATCTGAACCTCCACAAAAGTCTGGGCTACACCTTCAGCTCGCCTGATTTTCAGCAGACGTTCCGAAGCTCTTCACACCCTCTCTGCACCAGGTCAGACCTGCTGCACAGAAGATGCCGCCACGCCACCTTAGTTTTTTCTGTGTCCGTTCTAAGAATTTGTGGTCCTAAGTGTGTGATGTCTGCGTCCTTCCCCAACTATAGCTGTGGTCGTCAGATGCTGAAGGGATCTCCCAGTGATACAGGAGAATCTCATGCACCGTCTGTCAGTGAGACTCAACGCAGGCGATCAGGTATAAACAGTTCAAATCAAGTACGATGAGTGTATAGCTTACATTTGTTATATTTTGTTAATGGTATTATATCAATGAAGTGACATCTATAAGTGACATAAAACCATTAGATAATAATGGTAAAAAAATACTCTTTTGAGGAACTTGGCAAAAATACTTAAAAATACAGCATTAACACATGCAAGTATAGAATTTTGTATAGTCTAAAGACTAATACATTTCTTTTGACCACACACTTCAGCAGTTTTGTTCATTACATGACATTGTATCAGGTTGAACTTAGTTGACGGTTGTTCCCTTTAAAACCATGCACGCTCAGTACACAGGAGTGGAACCAGGCTTTATTCCCCTCTTGTCTTTGCTCTGTTCACGCAGGAGTTGAGGGTTTGGAGTTCGGAGGAGAGCCTCTGATCAGGGAGGAGAGTCTAGAGGTGGACATGACTGAAGAAGGGAGCTTAGATTTTTCAGGAAACCAGGGGCAGGCAGAAGAGGAGCAGGAAAGGAACCCAAGCACAGAACAGCAGACTCAGGAATCAGAGGTAGAAGATTCACCGACCTATTTATTCCCACTTCCATCCCAAATCAGAAAGATAACCCACTCTGCGACTTGTGTTTTTTGCCATTTCCTGTAGGGTGAGCAGGAGTTCAGACTAGATCCTATGCTGGAGGACCATGACGCTCTGATGGAGAGGATGAACACCTGGAACTTTCAAATCTTTGACCTGGTGGACAAAACAGGAGGGAAGAGGGGGAGAATACTCAGCTACGTACGTCTTCTGCCTGTAGCTGTAGTAGTAGCTGTAGTAGGCTGTCGGAATTCTACTTGGTCTTTTGTTCATCTTTAAAAAATATTTCCTATGAAACCTAAATGCAATTTCTCCTCAGTAATTCTCTTTTAATTATAAATGATTGGAAATCGGCATTTTCCTGGCTACACAAGCATAGAATTTGGGTAAATGGATCGGCCCAATTATTTGATTTGTGATCAAGCAATTTAGTCAACATCAGGGCAGATACCCCTGCATGACTTTTGATTGGTTCATCCCTAAAGAAGAGCCAAAAAGGAAACCAAAGATAAATGACTCCAGTGGCATTTTTTCATGTGTACTGTTATTCAGTTTTTGCCAAACATCTCGTACATTTTTTCATGTTTACTGTTATTCAGTTTTTGCCAAACATCAGTGTTAGTGATTGGTGTAAAAGTGAAACATTTTTCGTTCCTCAGGTGACTTACACACTTTTCCAGGACACCAGTCTGTTTGAAATTTTTAAGATCCCAGTCAGGGAGTTCATGTCGTACTTCCATGCGCTGGAAAATGGCTACAGAGACATTCCCTGTGAGTTGGCAGTGTGAACATTTTGAAAACGTACTTAGGGCAGGCTCCTTCATCGCTACTTCATTTAAATGGCATCACATTTACCTCTCTAATATTTTCAGATCATAACCGGGTCCATGCTACTGATGTCCTCCATGCTGTCTGGTACCTGACCACTCAACCAATCCCTGGGTTCCAGCAGATCCACAGCGAACATGTGACAGGAAGTGACACAGGTAAAAGAGATCAAGAGATCAAGTGATGGTGTGTACCAAGATTTCTGGTTGGTGGCTAAGACATGAGCAGAAAAAAAAAATCTTTTTTTTGAAGAATTCATTTGTCTTAATGATTTAAGAGAGAGAGAGAATCTGAATCATCTCTGTGGCTAAAATGTTACATTGCACTGTTTTTTGTACAAAATACATACATATAAGATGGTCTGTGATGTCTGTCATTTCTTCCAGACTCAGACAGTGGGATCTCTCCAGGTAGAGTATCCTACGCCTCATCGAAGAGTCTCTCCATTTCAGACGACAGCTACGGGTGTCTGGCCTGGAACATTCCAGCCCTGGAGCTCATGGCCCTCTATGTAGCAGCTGCAATGCACGACTATGACCATCCTGGTCGCACAAATGCCTTTCTAGTAGCCACTAATGCACCTCAGGTAACCGGCTGCAGCAGCCACAGGATCTAACAGAGACATGTATTAGCTGATGTACAGCAGTCAGACTTCTGTGTGTTTTCTTTCATTTACACCGTGCATTCCCCAACGCAGGAAATACAGTATTTATTCACTGAAATAAATACTGTATTTCATTTAGAAAAAAAGTACAATATTATACATACTGTACAATGACACTGCTTTCAGAATGAGTGGCTGGTCGTATGTAGAAAGCTGCAAAGTTGTACTGTAGGCTGTACAAGGACCATGTTTCCCTCAATAGTTTAAAAACTTACAAAAGGCTAAGAAAGTGGAGATATATTTAGGATGATATATACACGACAAATGTGTATGTGTATATATATGTGTGTGTGTGTGTGTGTGTATAAACATCAGTGTACTTCAGTGTATCTGGCCACAGGTCTGTCACCTTTACACCGAGCCCTCTCCTTGTCATCAGATCACATGAGGCAGATGTTGTCGCCTGATCTAAAAGTGGGCCGTAAACACTGCTGTGTTTTCAGAAACAAAGGATCAGATGTTGAAAATATGGGTGACTACATGTTCAGTATGGATGGATGGTATGAGCAGAGTAATATTCTAAAAAATAAACAGGTCGGCAGACACACAGTGTCCACTGACTCCTGTGGTCACTTGGTCACTTCATCTCCATCTGCTAGTCCTCTCAATGGGGGTCAAAAGGTTAACAGTGTGCTCCTGTTTAAATATTGTTTTTTCACAACGTGTGCATTGATAGCACTCATGCTGTCTGGGTTTTTGTTAAAGTCCCAGGAAAGTGGGTTAAAAGAAAGGAGAGGGAACCCTGAACCTATCGATTTCCTGATAAAGTTGACAGCCCACATTTACACTGAAAAGTGTTTCTTATTGGTCCTTTTCTGTACAAGTTTTAGGCCTGCTGTCCCCCGCAGCCCTGCAGTCAGTTGACCCTGTCTGTAACTCCATCTAGCATAAGAAATCTTTTTTTTTTTTCTATTAAACCATTAAATTTCCACACTGAGTGAAATATCAAAAATAAATGAATGTCAGGCATGTTTTACAGGAATGTTCTGAGTGAGGCTTGTCTTCCTGTCTCTCACCACCTGCCGTCCCCCTCTGGTGTGTTTCCAGGCAGTGCTGTACAATGACCGCTCAGTGTTGGAGAACCACCACGCTGCTTCAGCCTGGAGCCTCTACCTCTCCCGGCCCGAGTTCAACTTCTTGGTCAACCTGGATCACGTGGAGTTCAAGCGTTTCCGCTTCCTCGTCATTGAGGCCATCCTGGCCACAGACCTCAAGAAGCACTTTGACATCCTGGCAGAGTTCAATGCCAAGGTCCTCAAAGTCATGTGACCAAATGACAGAATTTCTGATTTAATAAGCTCTTAATTAATAGAGAAAATGTCTGACCTGATCCAATATTGAATCTATCTCCAGGTAAATGATGTGAGCAGTCCAGGAATTGACTGGACCAATGAGAACGACCGACTGTTGGTCTGCCAAATGTGTATCAAGCTGGCAGATATCAACGGACCGGCGAAAGTCCGTGACCTCCATCTGAAATGGACAGAGGGCATCGTGAATGAGTTCTATGAGCAGGTAAAACAAAAAAAATTATATAATTGTTCTCATATCCTAGTTATTGCATAAATAAAATGTAAACATGAGCATAAAGTTGAATATTTTATTTAGTCCATGTTTTAATCAAGAAAGTAAATGTTGTGATTTGTTTTTCTCATGACATGCTGATAGCGATTTTTGCCGATTCCCATTCTGTTCAATAAAAAAATACAAAATGTTGAAGTGTTTTTCCACGGAAAAAAAAATTCCAATAACAACTGTGCTTCTTGGACCTGTAGGGAGACGAGGAGGCGAGTTTGGGGTTACCCATCAGCCCCTTCATGGACCGGGCCTCCCCGCAGCTGGCTAAGCTCCAGGAGTCCTTCATCACTCACATTGTAGGGCCACTGTGTAACTCCTACGATGCTGCTGGACTCCTCCCTGGCCACTGGGTGAACGAAGGCTCAGATGAAGAAGATGAGGAAGGCCAGGTGGACACAGACTCTGAGGAAGAGGAGGAAGATGACCTGGAGGATGAGCTAGCACCAAGTACGATACACTATTTGTTTACTGGTCTTCACGGTCAGTGAATTATGGCTAACCTTTTGTTTTGAATGTTTTTGATGCAGAGATAAGAAAGAGGCACCGCAGGCTGTTTTGCAGCATAATGCAGCACTTGACGGAGAACCACAAGGTGTGGAAGAAGACCATCGAGGAGGAGGAGAAGAACAAAGAGCTCAGCAAACAGCCGCAGACTGAAGGCCTGCTTCCCACCTCACCCGCCAGCCTCCCGGGATCCTCGTGCGATGACATCCAGGTCATCCAGGAGGAAGAAGATGAGGGAGAAGATCGTCAGTAGCAGCAGGTCCAACAGTAAAGAAAGTTTGGTAGATGAGACGAGACAGGGATGTGTGTCCTTCAGCCAACTGCCTTTCACCAACATTTAATGCCCTCAAGTTGACAAATGCACATAAAAAACACTCTTGTCTCCCTCTTCTTTTTTTTTTTATTTCACATTTTATTTCACATCCAAAATGTTCCACTGTGCAAACTGAGGTCATATCCTTTTTTATTTTGTTTTTCTCGGAGAAACAAATATATGGCCTTACTACTGTGAGCGGATCCTTGCTGCAACGGTAGGAGCCCAAAATTTCTATGCACTTTTTTTGCCCCAGAGAGATGTAAAGCACCAGGAGAAAACACTGTGGAGGATTAAGGGGAAAAGGAGAGAGGAGCGCCTCCATGGTAACACGGCTGGAGGCCCTGAACGAGAGCCTTTCAGCTCCTTTAGGTACTAGAACTATATATATCTGTATTTAAGAAAGGAAAACAAATAGGAAAAATAATGAAGTAAGCGACAGGTTGGAGAGATGATGATTTCCCTTTACCAAAGTGAACTGCTCAATGACAAGACAAGACTGAGGCAGTTTCAGGCCCAGTCTCATACATACATAACTACTCATATGAATATATATAATATACTGTGTATATATATATATATATATATATATATATATATATATATATATATATATATATATATATATATATATATATATATATATATATATATATATATATATATATATATATATATATATATATATATACATGCACATGTATATATAACATATACATGTGCGTGTATAATATAATATGTATAATATACATATACATATATGTACATACATACATATATATATATATACATACATGTATATGTGTGTGTATATATGTATACATTTATACATATATCTACACGTTTTTTGCTTTGTTTGTTTTTTTCCCAGATAATATTAATATAATGTGCCTGAGCCTATTTGTGGCCCAGAGCCCAGGCTTCTTGAGTAGTTCTATGTTTTTGTTTTCTTTGTTGGTGACACAAAACACTGTATAAGACTCAGTCACAGAGACTTTACTGAAAAAAGTTGACTGAATATTAGCATTATATCTGCATCATTTTTGATGCTTTTACTTATTTGTAACATCTGTCTCTATCTTTTTTTATTATTATTATTAGTATTACCCCTTTAATTTCTTTTGCTTCATCGTGTTTGTGTGTGTGTGTTTCTGTGGAAATGTGATGAGGAGGATGAATGGCTGAAAGAAAGAGAGCACATTTGTAATTATTCCAGTGTGATGTCATTTCTTTGTGAATGTCTTCGTGTGTTTTCTCTCTTCTGGTGTACAATGTTAAGATCATGACTTTTTTTTGAATGGATTCTATTTTCTTTCTTTTTATTTTTCTTTCCTTTTAAATGGATTGAAGTTTTTTTTTCAAAGGTTACTCAGGATTCATGCAAAATTGATTATTTTTGCAAGAATTACCATCATTGCTATGAAATAGGCGATAAAGACTCAGCTAATTAAATAAGTCTGGGTAACAGGTTTTTGAGTGACATTCTAACCGACAATTTGAAGCATTTTAAACTCCTCTGTGACGGAGGAGCGTACAGTATGTGCTGTCTTTTGGACGGCCGTACTCTGTTTGAATAACCTTTTCACAACCTCAGTGCAGAAAGGCTTATATTGATTATCAGCAAAAGGTAAATGTTGTCACGTCTACATCAGACTTTTGTTAAATCAACTTTTTTCCGAACTTATTTCAAACAATCATACGAAGTTTGGTCCCGTGTTTCAGCTAAACACAGACAAACTTGAAGCTCAGAATATTTGATTTCACATTTTCTCTCTTCATTATTTTTATCTTTTACCAAACCCTCCACATGGCCAGTGTGTATAAAAGGGATCCAGGGTTTTCATTCCACTGTGGTTTAGAACTACTTATTCTTGTTTGTTTTTTTTCTCTTAGACCTGATATCATTCCACTAGAAAAAAAGATGTTCATTAATAAGGGGGAGGCAGAACTATTTTTGTCCTTACCCTAAAGATCTTGAAGAGAATGGTCAATCAGTGTGAAAACGAGGGAGAACGGTAATATTTAGAGACACAAAAGTAGTCAAAAGTGTGCACATTTGAATACCAAACAAGTGTTTAGCCGCTGTACAAAAGAGTATGTGCATATAAATATATATATTTTTTAAATAATCCAACAAATGCATCTGTTTTTTCTACATGCAGCTGACATGTTGTACATTCAGAACCTGTCAGTAAAGATTGTGGTTCCAGATTTGTTTTCCCAGTCCTCACGAGTGTTAAACGTCCAGGTTTGATGTTGAATTTTATTTTGACTTCAGTTTTCACTTGGTTTTCACTTTCTCCCCCGTTCAGTATCAAAACCACTCTTTGTATTTCGCCATCGTCTTGTTCTTGTCCCACTTCACCAAGGAGTGCCAAACGTTACCTACTGACTGTAGATAAATTCCAGGTTAAGCCTGTGATTGGAAACAGTTCTCTGGGCTTTGGTACTGTTTGTGCAAGAGAAAAAAAAAAGTACAAAGAGTGCAATGTGTCACCGGTGATGGCATCATATTTCAGAATTGGACTCAGGTCGGAGCCATACACATGCTGGCACCTGGCTGTCAACACCTCGTTCATGCGGACCCACTCACAGGATGGTGAAGCTCCTGCAGATCCAGAACCTTCTGGTTCCTTCAGTTCAGTTCTGTCCTGCTCTTTATTTTGATTTCCTCTCACAGCGTAGTCTGTCACACCACAGTGTCCTCTGATGATTGTGCCATAAATACATCTTTGAATGGTTGTTTCTCTTATGTAGCAGAAGTATATGTATATGTATGTTTGTCTAATGTAACCATTCACCTTTATCTACACTGTGGGGGGGAGGGGGGTGACGTATTTTTGTTGTTATTTATATCTGTCATAAAAACACCATCTCTTAAGTAACTGCAACTGTCAATGGATTTGATTATGAGTGAGTGAAAATATAATGTATACACTGAAGGCTATTTGGGAATGATTTATGGCAATTATTAGCAACCTATTTTTAATTTCATGTTTAGGGGTAAAAAAATCCAATCCATGTTCCAACAGTTAGCTTTTCAACTTTAAATTTTTGCTTGTCCCTTTAAATAGCTTTTCTGTTTTTTGACATTTTTTTTTACAAGGCATTTCAAATGTGTGCTTTAGAATTGGAGCCTCGTCTTGGCACCTGAAACCAGCACGGGCTTCTGTGGTTGCCATAAAGTTATTTGATAAGATCTTACCACCTAGATGTTCTGTATTTGACATTTTAATCTGAGGCCAAGGGACGACACATCGTGACATCAGTATCTTAGGAAAGACTTTATGAATACGCAGAATACAATAAGCCTTGCAAAAGTAAATAAAAAGTACAAATGTCAACATTACACAAAAATACAAAAAAAGTACTCTGTTCATAATGATAAGCACAATTTCAAAGAAAAAACCTGTGCAAAGAGTCAGTTTTGCAAAGTCTGAGAGACAAAGTTTCCACGGAGTGCCTTTCCCTGAGGGAGGAGGAGGATGGGGGGGTGGGGAGGTGGGGGGTCAGAGTCAGTCCAACAAGAGTAAACCTTGGCCTGTGTCCACCTTCAACACACTGTTCACATTTGTTCTTGGAAAGTCCACTTTCAACACACTAGTATGAATTTGTGCAGTCATTTGTCTGACCTGACGTTATCCTGAGAGGACAGGGCTTTGAACCGTCATAGATGTACATTCTGTCAATCATTAACACCCACCCAGACCGACCCATCACCACTGCATGGCTTTGTAGAAATTCCCTTTCGCAGAACCAGAGATGCCCTGAGCGAGACACTGAACTGAATATGCAGCACATGTGAGTTCCCTGCGAGTCCTCGTCTCACTCAGTCCCATTCCCTGTGCTCCCCTGTGCAAACATGCAGACTGTGCGGAAGGACAATTTCATAGTAACGAAATAAAATGGATAACGTGGCCCACGCCACCGCCAGATGAAACCACATCTGGATATTGAGTTCCACCGGTGCACACCCGTGCTCCTCGGAGCTGCATTGCTGTGCAATGTAATAACTTAGCAGAGCTGAAGCCCCTGTAGCTCTACTTGTTATATGGAGTGTCTCCAGTGTGTGCAACCCTGTGCTGCCTGCGGACGGCGCAGATGGAGTAGGGTTTGGGCTGTAGGGTCATGCCTAGTTTGGGAGTGAGCGATGGAATGGTTCCTGGAGGAAACTGGAGGTGAAACCCCTGCAACAAAGTAGTGAAGAAGAGAAACATCTCCATCCTGGCCAACTGCTCACCCAAACAGTGACGCCTCCCTGGGAAGAGAAAACATTTTTCAGACTCAAATATTATACAGAGCATATTTACCATCTGTCCTCTTTTCTAAAACCAAATAATGTCCCTCTCTCTACCACTTAGATGGTCATTAAGTTGAACTTTACACAATGAAAAAGCCTGGGGTCACCAACATGGTGCCCAGGGCACGTGGTAGGCCTCATGGTGTGTTCTAAAAATAAAACTAGTCAACAAGAGGGTGAAAAAGGTGTATTTGCATAACTGTTCTTCCTCGACCTACGTCAGAGTTCCGTTCTTACTATGCCACATAACTCAATTTCAAGTCGGAACTCACATTCTGTCCATCAGTACCTATGTCACTCAGCTACACTGACACAGTGGTGACATAATCTTGGACATAAAAACATCTGAGTCTGACTAACACTCGGAAGCCATAGTGAAGTTCCCAAAGAAAACAAGGCAAACGAAAGAAAGTGAATGTAGCAAAGCTAGTATCCACTTCATACAAGAAGTACTACTATTTCACTGTGTACTAAATCCGTAAAACCAGACCTACCCAGAGAAAACGGAAGAAAGGCCTCACGCCTCACAAAGTTGCCATTGCTGTCCAGGAACCTGTCTGGCAGGAAGACGCCGGGGTCGTTCCAGTACTTCTCATCAAAGTGCACTGAGTAGAGATTGGTTATCACCATGGTGCCTTTAGGGATGGTGTAGCCGTTCACATGGGCGTCCTGGGAGGTGGCACGGAAAATGCCGAGCGGAACGATGTTGCAGAAACGAAGGACCTCGTGCAAAACTGCCTCCACGTAGGGCATCCTCTGTTTGTCCTCCAGGGTCGGGGCCCTCCCGTTGGACAACACACTGTCAATCTCCCTGTGCACCCTCTCTTAGTAGGAAAAAAAATACCATCAGGCATTTAATGTATTATGACATTGAATAGAACAGAACAGATTTGTGCCGTGTGTGTATAAGAGTAGAGGAAAAAACTGTTATGGTTTGGAAGAATGTCCCAATTTTGGGAGACACGTGTCCTGTAAAAGGTCCTGAACTGTTCAACATTCAGAGCCATGTCCTGGGGGAGTCAGCGACTCGTCCCATCTTGTTCCACAATGTGTGGGAATGTGTTTGGAATCAGAAAAATGCCTGTAGATCTGATTCACCAACTGTCTTGTTGGTACTGTAACTTTAGGGTGAATCCACAACATAAACTCTGGTAAATGTTTCTTAAATGAATCAAGTGAAAAAAAAAGTATTTTGCTTTTGTTCAAATACTTTAAGATACTTCTCTACTTCCAAACCAGAGGGTTTAATCCATTTTTGATACACCATCTACTGCATGTCATGTTGATGACACTCATATGATAACTGACCTTGTATATTGGGGTAGAGGGCCATGTAGAGCATAGCCCAGCGCAGAGTGTTGGTGGTGGTCTCTGTCCCGGCGATAATGAGCTCCCCAACTGAGTAAACGAGGTTTTCATGAGAGTATGAAGAAGTGGGGTTTCCCGCGTTCTGCTCCAGCTCGTCTAAGTAGGCATCGACGTAATGTCGAGGTACATGTGGAATCCTGCCCTCCGAAAAGCGTCCGATGACCTCAACTAAAAAGTCGTAAACCTCTGCAGCATTGCGGAACAGCTTCTGGTGCTTTCCGAAAGGCACGTACTCGATCCAGGGAAAGGCGTTGTACATGAACGCCGCTCCGCTCACGGCTAACTCCACGTTCTCGCTGAAGAGCTCAATCATGTGCTGGAAGTTGTGGTCGTCGTAGGTGAAGCGCTGTCCGAAGATGATGAGGTTGGTGATGTTGGAGACGGCGTTGGTCACCAGGTGTTTGGGGTTGAACGGCCTCCCCTTGTGCTCGTCGATGGCGTCGACGAAGAACATGCACTCCTCAGAGATCTTCCTCTCAAACATTCTCTGGCCACTGCCAAAGTAACGGAAAGAGTTGCAGGCCAGTTTTCGATGTTCAATCCAACCGTTACCGTATTTACAGTTAAGGAGTCCTGGGAATTATGAGAGAAACAGAGAAATGAATCAAACAAATATAGAAGTAAATGCTTTCATGGACATTCTTTTCAACCAGCAGCACTTTATTATATGTAAACATCTTACCACCCATTTTAGTCATTTTCTTAAATAACGGCAGCGACGGTCGATCAGCGAACACCTCGCTCTGATGGTACAGACATTCCCTTACAGAGTCATATCCATTCAACACCACAGTAAGGATGCCTCCCAGGTCAAGACTAAAAATCTAAAAAGCATAAAAAACATTTGTTTATTTCAATAAATAAGTGAGCTGTGGATTCATTACAACGAACCATGATTCATTTAAGCCTCATTAGCCATGATTAATCATTATTGTTAATTCAGGTAAATCATCAGAAGTGATAAGACAATATGCTTTTATTTGAGACCAATCCACATGATGGGATTATTAATATAGAACAATATGTCATGACATAAGAAGTCCAGCTTCATAGAGTTCAGACATTTCTGTGCATTGTGACAGTCGCTTGTAGAGAGGTGCTCTCAAATCTCTACTGGTCCATATTAGTTGTTGCTCACAGTCTTACTGTACTGCGCTCGATGAGGCTGGACATCACAAGCCTGTCATCTGACCTGAGGTTGAAACAAATACTCTGTGTTTTGTAAAAATAAATAAATAAATGGATAGATGGATTTATTGTTATTATTATTATTTATTAGTTATTGTCACATATCAATTCATGCATTTGGTGCAGTCATTTTGACAGCACCTGTAAGAACATACCCAATACTAACACCTAATAATGATACTCTACCGTATGCTGTAGAATTTATTCTCAACACTATACAAAATGTCTGCAGAATTCCAAGCTTTTCAGTACTAATAGAGCAGATCTAGCCTTTGCCCCGGGCCCTTACAATTGCTACATGCGCCCCTGGGGGACATCTTGTCCTGATGAGTTTATGCGAGGGAAGAACAGTTGAATAAAAGCTGCACAGCTGTCTGTCTCAGTGGCTTTGCGTGCATGCGTGCGTGTGCATGACAAGGAAAAGTTACCTGTCCGTGAACTTCACTCTGATTCTTGAGAAAGACGTGCGGCTCAGTGGCCAGAGACAGAATGCTGCCAATCACAGGGATGGGAGACGGGCCGGGGGGGAAACCCGGGGGTCTTCTCTGCTTGAAGAGCTGGCGTGTGAGCAGGAAAGCAAAGAGGGCCACGGCCAAGCAGAACAACCCGAGTAGAACCTGGGCACCGGCGGATACCGGCACCAGAGACGGTGATTTGATGGAGACCATCGTTTCTTTCCAGAACTCTGTGTGAGCTGCAGGACTGTCCTGTTCGCTGCAGCCGTACCTCACAGCCTATAAGTATCACCTTGCACTTTTTCTAACCCCCGCCTCTAGACCTAATGTTGGTGAACTTTGTTCTGCTCACGATCGATGATCAGGATCATATTGGTCTGGATTTCTTCTTGTCCAGAGGCGGGGGCGGGCCATTGTCAGGCTGCAGCGGTGACCGATGCTTTGTCTGCAAAAATGCATTGTCGACGAAAAGTTTGCATCGTGCAACTTTCAAGTTTTAACATGCAGACTTGGTTTCACACAGCAGGAGCATGCAAAGAAGCGCTGATGCATGCAGGAAAATCACATACAGGCGCTGACTGTGACGACAGGGACTTACGTAGGCGATTTAAATATATCGGGTTACAATTCTGGGGCGGGGAGTGTGTAAAATAGCTAGAGTAAAGATGGGGGTTTTGAGAACTGCAACCGAATCCATTAGGAAGGAAAAGCCGGTGAACAAAGTGCACAACGGACCAAATGAATGAAGAGCAGATCTTCTTTTAAGAGCATAGTTGATAGTGAATTATAATCGTTCATTAGAGTTATTAACACAGCCAGATCTGACCATTACTGTCAGACAAGATGGCGTTATCAATTCCCTGATTGTATGGATTCAAAAATTTAAAGAGAAAAGTTGTACCACAACACTTTTCACCACCGAATTGCTCAAAATATTATTACAAGTGCAATGCAACTTGGATTACAGTCCATCGAATTTCCACTGTCTTTTAAGATGTGTCATATGGCTAATATATACAGTGTACAATGCTTTAGCATTCATTGTGAAGATGAATAAAAATGAACCTGAAGCGACATTTGGCTCCAGGAATGTTGGTGCAGAGAGTGACAGGCAGCCAGCTGACAGAGGAGCTGCCCACCAGAGTATCAGCTGAGGTCACGGAGCAGCTAAACAGAGCCTCATCCAGTCTGCTTCTGCAGGAAACGGCTGCAGAAGCCTGCCATCAATGAATATCAAATTATAATGTACATGTGCTTCCACATCTAATCATCATTTTGAAGCAAATCTGTTTGTGTGTTTTGTTTTGAATAAGCACACAAACTTTCACCCAGTGGCTGGGGGGTTTCTTCATCTCTGCAGGTAAATGTACTACATTTGGAGGTCAGAGGTTCAGGTTAGAGGTTAGGACATGCCTCACATTCCAGACTCCACCATGAAGAGTGGTGGTAGATTCCAGTAGACTTGTTCCTCCAGACAGCACAGAGCTGTGCAGTGTCAGCCTAAAGTAAGTTCACGTTGTATTTTAACTCTGAAAAACAAATAAACATTACATATATATAGTCAAAACAGAGGTGTCATAAGAGGGTGTTGCGGTCAGTGCCCTCAACCTTATCAGTTAAAAAAGTGAAGGAACCTCTAACGTGTCTCAAAAGAAGGGTCCAGACTAGTGGACTCTGGTACAGTTAAAATTGGATTTATGGTGTGACTGTTGTGAGAATTAGCTGAGATTATTGGTGTGTTTTTACAGTTTCCATTGTGTATCCCAAGAGACACTTGTTGCATTTACATTTTTTTAAGGTTTACTTTGAAGTATCAGAAGAGTCCTACAGCCTGATATGTATTGTACTTAGATAAGAAATAGCCAAAAATATAGACATATGTAAATATATAAAACCATACAGCTAATAAGAATGTTATTATGTAATGTATGCAAAAAGTTCCCAGTTTCCCATCTTGTTATTAAAGGCATTTTCATGCAATAAACATAAAAGAATGCTGTCTAGCAGGATGCAGTATAATGATGTACTGCCTCCATTGTGGCTTAATTTACTTTTGTCCTGTTCAGGGTCTGGGATATAATACAGTTACTGTACTTGAACAGCATCAGTCTTTACATTTAAAGGCCACTTTGAACCACTCTTCCATCCTGTTTCTTTACTGAAGGACATGTTTGAGTGAGCAGGTCACCTAACTACGTAAATGATTTAGGGCTGATTAAGTGAAAAACCAAATGACAAGTACATGAAAATGTTATTATGGACTTTACTAATGTTCTTCAGAAGGTCTTTCCCATTAACATAATGGAAGTATAGGTGTGATATAGACCAGTTGTGTATGGGTCTAGTTATGGTGTGGTAGTTCTTTAATGGAGAATGATTTTTTTTCTAGTATCTAATAGATAAATGTAAACCAGATATTGGTTAAGAGGAGTGGTGTCACTAACAAGAAAAATAAACAGAAATAGACAAATAAAAAAAATTAAGATAACAGAGTTGAGCTAGAAAAAATAGTTATGTTGGGAAAAAATATATTACATTGAAATAATAAGAAGTAAAACAAAGTTCTAATTAAATTGAATCTGTCAGTAGCTACAGGTTTGCCTAAAATACTTCCTCCAACATAACTTAAAGTGAGCCTAAAAATACAATACTCCAGAGGCGGTTTTGTGTTCTGTCTGGTTTAAACAGAGCGACCGTCTGTATTATTTCCCCAGTACAGTGTGACTGTGACAAACTCACTGTGTGTTTGAGTCCCTGATGAGCAGGCTTGTAAGCGTAACGCTGCCCTTCCTGTCATCAGTGCTCTCCTGTGTTGTAATTACTCTCTCCAAGTAAGTCATGTTGAACGTGGGAACGCAGACAGCGTGAACTGATTGTATTTTTGTCGATAAAGTTCCCCCTTTGGAATCAAATCCTCCTGCATCAAAATAATACTGCACGATGAGAGTGTTACTGGTGCGAGGCGTAAGAGCTGCTGGGTAAATGTTTAAAATAAATAAATAAATAAAACCTCCTGCAGGTTTCTGAGATAAGCACAGGACCATAAACACAGGTCTCAGTGTGTATGCGGAGACTGTAAGTCTTTAGCCCATAATGAGCAGCTTGGGTGGAACTGGACCTAATTTAGTGCCTGGTGTAGGAGCTGCCGGTCTGTGCAATAGTACTAAAAGGCTCATTTATACTAATGAGTTTCCTTGTGACGCAATAAGGAGAGAGAAAAAAAACAAACAGGACACAGGATTTATGATGCATCATCCAATATTGTTACATAAGGGGGATTAGACGATGGCCAGAGACAGAGAGCTCAGCTATTAACTCA